TTTAATTTTTTTTTTCAACGTTTATTTATTTTTGGGACAGAGAGAGACAGAGCATGAACGGGGGAGGGGCAGAGAGAGAGGGAGACACAGAATCGGAAACAGGCTCCAGGCTCTGAGCCATCAGCCCAGAGCCCGACGCGGGGCTCGAACTCACGGACCGCGAGATCGTGACCTGGCTGAAGTCGGACGCTTAACCGACTACGCCACCCAGGCGCCCCTAGTGTGAGATGTGTTTAATTACCTCTTCCTAAAAGCTATTTTCCCAAATAGCCACATGCCTTGATTTCTGACATCATGCTGGTGTCTGCCCAAAGTGATATTCCATAGTAAGTCTTTTCTGACCACCGTATTGAAAACTCAATTTTGTCAAAGCTATTTCCCTTATTTACTTTCCTACTGTATTTTTCTCAAAAAGCAGTTATCATGATGACTCATACTCTAAGTTTTATATTTTTACTTGTCAAATACCTTCCCCAACTACTGCATGAGCTCCTTGAGTGCAAAGAAATCTGTTGCTTTTGTCTATTTCTATGTTGGCTTGGAACAGTTACTGAGACACAGTAGGCACTGGATATTTCAAAGAAAAAATATTGTAGGTTATATACTTAATGATATCACCTTTAAGTAATGATGATAATTTTGTTTTATCACCTTGTCATTCACACAGCCCCATTTTGATTCCTTTATTAGTGCTGACAAGGTTCCCTCATACTGTTTGTTTATATTTCCATCAGGAAATCTTCACTTCCTCAAAAATACGGATAGGCTTTTGTTTCACATCTTCTACTAGTGGTGTTCAATCCATATTTTTGAATCCACAAATGATAGATCTGCATTCCTCTCTCATTCATTAGGTCACATTTTGAAGTAGCCAATGCTACTGTTTCAAGCCATATGTCTCAACACTGCATCTCTTATAGTACATGTGTTAACCAGCATGTACTTTTTAGGCTATCAACTTCTTCAGGATTCCTCTAGCTGTTAGCCTCAACCCTCACATATTTATCTGCTTGATATTCTCATGAGTTTACAATATCAAACTGTCCAATCATTAATATAATCAGAGAGTATCTTCTGCACATTCAAAGATTTTTTTCCTTCTAAGAAACTCTGTATTTATCTCATGTATCAATTATTGTCTCCCATTATGATAGTGATTTTCTTATACCTGTTGGTGTGTTACGGTGTTATCCAGGAAATAAAATCTTTTAGGTGGGTTTTTTGGTTTTAGGAAGAAAGCCTCACAAAAATGACATACTTCCCTGTATATGATTAGGTGGAACTGATTTGCTATTGGTTACTCACACGTGGAAGACTATTAACATTATGATTTTAGCTCAAGTTTTTATTGTCTAATCACTGTGTGGTTGAAGCTGGTACTAAAGAAAAAAGAATCCCTTGCTTACCTCCCATGCTCTGATTTTGCTGCTCTCTCTTTTTTGATTTCTCCGATTTTCTTGTGTCTTTTCCCACACAGACCTCATTTCTTTCAGGAGCTTTTGCTACAAAAGAACCATGAATGTGAGCATCAGAAACGCTGTTATTGAAACTTCCATGTCATAACAGACAGAGAGGGGCAGGGAATGCAAAATACATGATTATTAAAGAGAGCAAAGTGCCAATGCATTTCACTGCTAAGCTCAATGTCAAATATGGAGGACTTTTATAACCACATAGTAAAGCTACAGTTGGAAAGGGTGTCTCACCATGGAGGACACTGGCTGTCAAACTTTACATCATAAAACCAATTTTCAATAAATGAACCTATCTCACCTTTTAATGGTCCTGTTACCAGTTATCATATCCTAATACCCTATTACTTTAGTGGAGAGACGGTGTTTCTAAATAGAGTCTATTAGTTTAGGCTTTGTGTAATTATGGTTATAATGGACAATAACCATTCCTGAAACTAACAGATTTGTCTACCTTGGTCTTCACAGTTCCAACTATGATCAACATTATTATCACCATCAAGCTTGAGTTGTAAGATTTTAACTGTGGAAATGTAAATGTTGTAGGACTGAGAACATGCTTTTTTCAATAGGTTATCCAAGTGTCGGGCACATAATGCCAGTTAATACCTGTTCAGTAAGATGAATGGATGAATAAATTCTTTTTTTTCTAGTCTCTCAAATATCAGATCCCCCAGATTCTGTCTCAGCCATTGCTTACCCGGTATTCCTCAGCGGTCCAGTCAGTGGAACAATGTCTGTGGGCCTCATGCTCCTTTGACTTACAGCACAGCAAACAGAGCAGGTCCTTCATAACCTCACAGAAGAAGTTCTTAGTTTTCATGTGTATCTCACACATCTGTTCTGCAGAGCTCGGTAAGTGGTAAGGTCTTGCCCGTCTGGCAAGGAATACCCGTGTCTTCAAAACAATGTTGGTTTTGAAGTTCGTTTGATGGGATGTTTCCCTGCAGACAGGGCAGGAAGGAGGATGATAGGCTTCCTCCCAGAAGATACAAAGACAAGGCATACAAAAGCTGTGCCCACAGCCTATAGTGACCGGGTCTATGAAGTACTTCACACATATGGAACAAGTGAATTCATTCTGGAAGATGTTGGAATCCATATTTCTGAGGAGACAAAGTAAAGAAAGAGGAAATTAGTTTGTCATAGGCCTTTTAAAGAAGTGAATATTCAAAACTTTAAAAAATACCAAGAGGTGGGGTGCCTGGGTGGCTCAATTGGTTAAGCACCTGACTTTGGCCCAGGTCATGATCTCACGGTTTGTCAGTGTGTCTGTGTTGGGCTCTGTGCCGACAGCTCGGAGCCTGGAGACTGTTTCAGATTCTGCATCTCCCTCTCTCTCTGCCCCTTACCCACTTGTGCTCTCTCTCTCAAAAATAAACATTAAAATTGTTTAAAAATATATTAAAAAATACCAAAAGGTGTAAAAATTATTTCCTTCCTTTATGTACGAATATCCTAGTATATATAGCAGGACACGCTATATATTGCATATAGCAGATGCTGAGGAAAAGACAGTCCTCATGATATAGGTCAGATTATTGATTTGTCAAACATGGCCTTCATACCAGAGTTCCAGCTCCCTTGTACAATTCCAAATTAGTTTATTTGTGTCTTCCCTTCTAAGTGGACCTGGGAATGTAGTACAGATCCAACCACCAGAACAGAGCATGGATCAGATTTCACCTAATGCAATCATCCTTATCCCTGTGCCAGGGATTGGTTATAGGCCGCTTGACCCTATTTAGCCAAAGCAATTTGAAGGAAATGCTATTATGAGGATTTTGTGAAGTGTTTATTGGCTCCTGAGAAGAACCATAAGGAAGAGTCAACTGTTTCATGCCCCTCTGGACAGTATTTGAATGTGATGCATGAGACTGTCATTTTGTTACCACAATGTCCACCTGCCTAGAGACCAAAGAATACACCCTGAGGATGACAGAAATGGAAGACCTGGGTGTGTGACAATGTCATCAAGGCATTAAAGTAAGCCACTATGGGACTGACCATAAATACATGTAAGAGGAATTAAGGAAATAGAAAAATCATTTTACAATCATGATGATCATCTTCTCTGGCAAGAATCATCAATGGATATGAAAAACACTGGTTAAAACAGGACTCATCCAAAGATTGTTTATTAATAAGTTCTTCACTTTATTGCCAGCTAATATATTAAATCATTTATTGAAATTTTTAAAAATACATTATTTTAGTTACCATAAATTGTGACTAAATATTTAATTATATGATTGTTGTTATCTTTCCCATCTGGAAGGACTTGAATGGGAGAGGCTGTACACGTGCAAGGCTGAAAACTCATTTTGGGTCCAAAATAAGTTGGAGTTAGACATGAGGTGAATTATTGCTTTACTGAACAGTTATAAAACCAGCTTTACAATACCTCTTTGAAAAATAGGTAGCAACGAGGCAGTAATGCTGACAGATATATTTATGAATAACAGTTTGTGGGAGGAGATTCATGGCTTTCTGCTTGATGAACACACGATTTTCAGTGACATGGAACATAAAGCCTTCTACCCAAACCCACCCATCTGGAGGAGATAGTTTGAGGGACAGGAAGAAAGTTTAAATTTGCCCTGTGTAGAATGGCCTAGAAACTGGCCAAGAATTCATTCCAATATAATCATTTCTAGACTGATAACATTAATGATAATATTAAAGTGATAATAGTAGAAGCTAATACTGTTTTCCAATTCTAGGCATGGATTAACTCCTCTTACCTGGATTACCTGTTTTAGTCTCCTTAATAATGGTAGCAACTTATTTTCTGTTTTTACCAACACTTTATAATGAATAAGCTTGACATAGTATGAGTAAAATAAGTTACTTGTCTAAAAGTCACACATTGAATAAATGACTGATCCCATACTCAAATATAGATCTTACTGATGGAAAAAAAGACAACTCTGAGCTGTAGTGTCCAAGATTAATATTAAATCAAGCAGCATTTACTGATCTCTGAATTGTAATGACAGTAATCTGTTTCATCATGATAAAAAAAAAGACAATATTCTAGTACTCAGTGGGTCAGAGTTTGAATTTTTAATTGTTTTTTAATGTTTATCTTTTTTTGAGAGAGAGAGAGAGGAGAGAGAGAGAGAGAGAGAGAGAGAGAGAGAGAGAGCATGAGCAGGGAAGGGGCAGAGAGAGAGGAAGACACAGAATCTGAGTCAGGATCCAGGTTTTGACCTGTCAGCACAAAGTCCAATACAGGGCTCGAACTCACTATCTGTGAGATCATGAGCTAAGCCAAAGTTGGACACTCAACTGACTGAGCCACCCAGGTGCCCCAGAGTTTGAATTTTTTTAAAAAAGTTTATTCATTGAGAGAGAGAGAGAGAGAGAAAGAGAGAGAAAGAGAGAGAACAAGCAAGCACATGAGTGGGGGAAGGGCAGAAAGAGAGAGAATCCCAAGCAGGCTCAGTGCTGTTGTCTGCAAGCTCGATGCAGAGCCTCATATGAGACTCAATCCCAGGAACCATGAAATCATGACCCGAATCCAAATCAAGTGTCAGACGCTTAGCCTATTGAACCCCCAGGTACTCCAGAGAAATCTGTAACTGGCTGTAATTAACTAATTGTAAACACATCTGTACTTGGATCAGCCAGCAAGTCAGAGTTTGAAGGATGATATAACCAAGTTTAGTGTAGTTTAGTTTTTAGAAAAGGATGTTGTAATAATGAGAAACATGTAATGTGCCATGGAAACAGAGAAGAGAGAACCATCAGATAGTTCACCTTTGGTTATGCAACCATGCTACACGAATACACACTCAATGCATACAACCAAATCTACTTGTCTTAATGCCTAGCATATTTCTTAAGGAACATCCTCTCTCCCAGTCTACCTTATTTTTAATACAAAAAGCTGACCTATTTAACGTTAAATATTGTATACTTTGTTCAGATCTTATCTATTTCCCTTCATTTTGAAATTTTCAAACAAGTCAATTTATCTTCTCTATCAACCCTGATGCATTCAAGATTTTAATGACAAAAAAAAAAAAGAGACAGATTCCATATGTTTTCACTCCTATGTGGATCCTGAGAAACTTAACAGAAGACCATGGGGGAGGGGAAGGAAAAAAAAAATGGTTACAGAGGGAGGGAGCCAAAACATAAGAGACTCCTAAAAACTGAGAACAAACCGAGGGTTTATGGGGGATGGGAGGGAGGGGTGGGTGGGTGATGGGTATTGAGGAGGGCACCTGTTGGGATGAGCACTGGGTGTTGTATGGAAACCAATTTGACAATAAATTTCATTAAAAAAAAAAAAAGATGAAGAACTTAAAAAAAAAAAAGAGACTAATAATGTACTCAGACTCATTATCTAGAATTCCAGTTCTCTGTGAAATGATATATACCTCAGGTTAAAATAGTTGTCAGCAGCAAATAAAAATTGTGTTTTAAAGTACAGATTTTTCTTGGGGATGGGTCAGTTGGTTTAGTGTCAGACTCTCAATTTCGGGTCAGGTTTTTGCTCAGGTGAGTTTAAGCCCCGACAGTTTGGAGCATGCTTGGGATTCTCTCTCTCTCCCTTTCTCTCTGCCCTTCCCCTGCTCTTTTTCTCTCTGTCTCTCAAAATAAACTTAAAAAAAAAGAATTAAAAAAAAAATTTTTTTTAACGTTTATTGATTTTTGAGATGGAGAGAGACAGAGCATGAACGGGGGAGGGGCAGAGAGAGGGAGACACAGAATCCGAAACAGACTCCAGGCTCTGAGCTGTCAGCACAGAGCCCGACGCGGGGCTCGAACTCACGGACTGCGAGATCATGACCTGAGCCGAAGTCAGCTGCTCAACCGACTGAGCCACCCAAGCGCCCCCCCCCAAAAAAGAATGTTAAAATACAGATTTTTCTTGACTTATGATGGGGTTACATCTGAAAAAAATCTATTGTAATCTGAAAATATCATTAGTTGGAAACACATTTAATACACCTAACCAACTGAACATCATAGCTTAGCCTCACACACCTTAAAAGTGTTCAGAACACTTACATTTAAAACTGGGCCAAATCAGCTAATTCAAGGTCCATTTTAGAATAAAGTGTCAAAAAATCTGCTGTAATGTATTGAATACTGTACTGAAAGTGAGAAGCAGAATGGTTGTGTAGGTACAAATGATTTAAGTGCATCAGAGGTCAACCATCATGGTCGCTGGCTGACTGGGAACTGCGGCTGCCTCTGCTGCTGCTCAACATCACCAGAGAACCAGTAGGGCTCCATTGCTGGCCCGTGAAAAGACCAAAACACAAAATTTGAAGTTCAGGTTCTACTGGATGTGCAACACTTTCTCATCACTGTGAAGTCAAAAAATCATTAAGTCCCACCACCTTAAGTCAGGGACTGTCCATAAATTGATTTGGCTACACTCAAGAGTCCTTATTTTCATGTTCAGTGGATGCAGAGAACCTTCCCGTATCTAAACTTCCTCATAGGGAAAAGTAACAGTCTTCTCTAGGTCACTCCAATTCCTAAACACTTGACAATCTCCCTCTGAAAACTGAAATCCAAGTCTGAAGCTGAGAACATTAAGAGACATTTTAAACACTCAACCTCACAATGAATGTTTGTGGGATAATTCAGCACATTGAACCAACCGGCATTTTAAATAGACCTGAGATACAAACATGTACTTAAATATGCACGTACACAGAGCATAACATGAACAGCTTGGTAGGCACGGATAGATGACTTAGTATCTACAGAAAAATAATACAATTAGCATATATTTATTGCTTTACCTACCACACTGCAAGCTATCTGGTGCCAAATTATTTTCTGTACTTCACAATTATATATGAATAATCAATGTACACAAAAATAACAGAGGAAAAATAATCATACTAACTCAAAAAATAAATACAAAGAGAAGAGATTGCATCCTCATAATGGACTAAATTTAAAGTAATGAAACAATTTCTACTATTAAATTCTTTGGAAACAACCTAAACAAACAGACATGTGGATTATCGTTCCTAATTTTAAGGGAAAATAACAGAAGTTGCTTTCATGAATATGAGTACTCACCCGTGGTTACTGGTAATGGAGATTTCCATTCTTGTTCCGTACGTGATT